AAGGTTTTCCACCAGCAGATCAGAAATTATGATGCCATTTCCCAACAGTAGTATGTAATCTAGAAGCTTGTAAAATGTTATTCAATTAACTTTGATAGAGCTGAAATTTGAAATGCAGGCACAACTTCTAATGATTGTTCATCATAGAAATCTAGTTTCTCTGATTGGATACTGTGACGAAGGTGAAAATAAAGCATTGATTTATGAATACATGGCCAATGGAAGTCTCCACCAGCACTTATCAGGTAATTACATTTTTTCTTTAATTGGTTAGCATGCATTATATATTTAATACGCCCAACTGGCCTGCTTTAAAGTTTAGCCTTAATTAGTAATCATTTTCCATTAATTATTATCCGAACTAACGTGATCACATGGAAAACAAACTAGGCAAAATTTTTAGTGCACATGATTTATGATATCGTATTATCAAAAAGGTAGGGAGACTAAGGGGAAGAAATTTTGCATATTCATTCGTTTTTAAAATGTTTGTAAAGAATTGCAAGAGTGACTTACGTCTTTTTCTTTTCCCAATGATTCAAAACATGGTATGCACGTTAACCTTTATTTGTGTGCAGTTAACAATCCAAATTTCTTGAAGTGGAATGAAAGACTTATTATCGCAGTTGATGCGGCACGAGGTATAAAATCCACTTACATTTTTATCTATGCCAGCTTAATTATGTTTCTTGCTCCATTTTTATTGTTATCTTGTGATTATGGTTTCTTACGGATGTCCAGGACTAGATTATCTTCATAATGGCTGTAAGCCTCCTCTGATCCACAGAGATTTGAAGCCTTCCAACATATTATTAGATCAAAACATGCATTCCAAGATAGCTGATTTTGGTCTATGCAGAGCTTTTAGGAGCGATACTGATTCTCATATATCTACTCTACCTGCTGGTACACTAGGTTATGTTGATCCAGAGTAAGTAATAATTTAAATTAACTAAGATTTGTTAGTAGCATTTCTGTTAAAGTAGGGAGTTTCATGGATTTCAAACCACACCTCTGAATAAATGACAAGTGCATCGCATTGGCCTAATTACATCACAAATAGGGTGCTCTTTACAATTTCATTGCAGCTTTGGACACTATCCATGCTTCTATCCTTAAAGGCTAGATGTGCAGATTTCTTTATAAATAAAATTTTTGGAAACTCTACTTGAGACCCAACAAAATTTACTCATTTAGAATGAAAAGAATATGAAACATCATTATTTAGCATTATTGGGATGCAAACAAAATCCCACATCATTCAAATAAGAGAATGAATATGAGTTTATATACACACAATTGTCTCCATTGGTAGAGAGGTCTTTTGGGTGATGTTCAAAAGCAAAACCGAAACAAGCAGGAGCCTTATTTGTTTTGGTTTATAATTTATATAATCTAAAAATGGAGCGATAAAATGAGAGAAACAAGCTTCAGATCACTTATGCAATTTAATCGTTTGTTTTCTTAATAGATTTCAGAGAACCGGAAACTCAAATAAGAAGAGTGATATCTACAGCTTTGGCATAATTCTATTTGAGTTAATCACTGGTCAACATGCACTATCAAGGACACCTGAAAAAAATGTTCACATCCTTGAATGGGTTATTCCCATGGTTGAAACAGGAGATGTTCACAACATTGTTGATCCGAGATTAAAGGAAGAATTCAATATCAATTCTGCATGGAAAGCTGTAGAGATTGCCCTGTCATGCATTTCACCAGCTACAGCTGAAAGGCCAGACATAAGTCAAATATTGGCAGAGTTAAAGGAATGCCTATCATTAGATATAGTTCAGAGACATGTCAAAAGAACAAAAACTATATTTGAATTTACTTCATTACGGATTGACTCAGAAATTTCTCCCTCGGCTAGGTAGCCACCAATGCGATAATCTTGTAGTGTTATTCTTTGTACAAGTAATTAGTTTTAAAGCTTTCTAGGACTAAAAGAGTTGTGTGCAACCTGTGCAAGTGATGTGTTTATTCAAAGCAGGGGATTTGGTTCCTAAATAAAATATCTACTGAATAGAAATGCAACTAGATGCTTTACTCTAGGTGCTGGTTGAATGCTTTTTCTATGCTTGAAATTGTGTTTTGTTCTCAGTATGTTGCATTATTTAGAAGAACACTCTCAAGACAGTCTTTTTGTGTAATTGTTTCAATTGAGAAGCTCAATATGAAACACCTTATAAAATTTCTCAACTATCGACGAATCAATTTCACCGTGTATATAAATTTGACCTCACATACAAAAGCTAAGAAGCAGACACTTTGATCACAAATCCATTACCATCCCATCAGCACAAACTCACTTCCCAAAGCAAAGCAACAAAATTTGGCTGTCTTTGTCTCTGTTTGAATCTCAAGTGGTTGGTTATGTATGCTTTTCTTTCTTCTTCTTTTTTTTCGAAATTGATCATGTATCAGTTGGATAAGAGATGAAGGGAAACTTTGGATGAGTGACAAAATATGCAGGAAAAAAATAATTAAAGTTAGGCGGGAAACATGTACATGTTTTTAAAATAAGTGACAGAATTTATAGTGAAATTGAATGATAAAATATACAATTTATTTATAATATAAAAGTTAAAGTTATGGACTATTACGTTGACACGTCATTAGAACATTAATTTCTAATGGAAGCAACTCATTTGAGTTGCTTCATGCATTAAAAAATGAAAAAAGTGGTCTCTATTGTACCATGTCAGCATTAAACAACTCAAACACAAATTTACTCCAATGCTAAGAAACTTTAAGAAATTCAATTTTTAAAATTTTTTCTAATCATTTATGAACCAAATTTAAATTTTTATTAAAAAGGATAATTGCACTACAATGAAAGAAAATAAATTACGAGAAAAAATACACAATAAGTAAATATTAAAAATAAAATAAAGCAATAGTAAATACATAAACATTATACGAAATTAATTTTCATCATTATTATTTCCGAAACGTTCCCAAATATGTTCAATAAGATTTGCTTGAAATCTGGTAAGGAACAGTTGCTTGAGGAAGCAACTCTCTCTCTTCTTCAAGCAACTCGTGTTGCCACGTCAGAGTCCTCCAATGGCAAGAAACCGGGGCTTGAATTGCTTCATGAAACAAGTAACTCTCATTGGAGTTGCTCTAATATGTGTCAATCCTTCTTTATCTCTTTGTATTTCTCATGTAACCGTCAAGAATTTTGTATTTTATTATATCTCTTTTTTACTAAAAGTTCTAAACAATTCATTCTTTCTCATTATCAATTTAAACCTAAATTCTCCATTTTCTTGACTACTTAAAATTTTAATCCCCATTTGACAAAGTTACAATTTTCGTTATGAAATCCAAGAAGATATTCACAACTTTTTCTCTTATTTTGTTCTTTGTATTTTTTTTTCTTTTTTTCATGTTAAATGTTTATCTATATTCTAAACAATTCATCTTCACTCATTATAAAATAATAATAATAATAATAATTAAAAAAAATCAACTTTTATGTAATGAATTAGTTATGCAAGGAAAAAATGTTATAAAATAATCATGAACTTCAAATTTTTAGATTAAGGAAAACAAATTATTTTTTAGAAAAAAAAACTATTTATAAATTTAAGTTGTTATCTCATACATACGGCTTTGTTTTTTTTGTGAACAACTATTTTTTTGGTATAAAATAACTAAATCACAAACATTATAATCATGTATTAAAAATTTTTTTGCTAAATAAACTCACTAATTCAACGAATCCAATTTGCTAACCTATAGGTCAACCGGTTTATAATGAATTTATATTAAATCAATTTTTTATTTCATAGTTTGGTTTTATTGTATATTTTGAAACATTTCAAGGTTAATTAATTTGAATAATTATTTTGGATTTAAATTTAATTTAAATTTAAAATAACTATTTTATTAATTATTGGTATTAAAGCTTAATTAATATAGTTTTAATGAGATATAATAACCTAATATTTATAATTTTAATGATCAAATATTTTAAAATTAATTGATTTTAATTATTGTGATTAATTATAGTCACAACAATCAGAATTTCCTCCTATAAATATTGAGATTTAGTAGGAGTCAAAAGCATTGAACACTCTTCTCTTTATGGATTAAAAACTTACTAATTTTGTATTTTCGGTTGTTGAAAAGATCTTATTATATTTTGGAAGATTTGCATGGGAATTCAAGAAAGTGCATCGTAGGTTTTAAGAGTTTAGATTGATTCATATTCTCAACATTCATGGACAAACAAGTTTCTCATTTTAAATAATTATTCATTATATATAAAATAAAAGTATATTATTTTAATTACATATATTTTTTAGTAGTACATTTTCATGTATATGGAATAAAAGTATATATTTTTATTTTAGTGAGTTGAAGGTAAGCCAACCCATCAATCAACCAACTTTAATCCTTTAACATGTCATTTTTAAACTATTAATTTACTAAATTGGATCGATTCGTCAATTAACAAAATTTGTGACCCATCTCTTGATAGATCAACCTATCTATAAGGTAAGTTAAAATTTTCAACCTATTTTCTTTAGCAGATTAATTCGTCTCAACTTAAGATAGATTACAATTGGAACATGATAAATTAACTTGCATTATCACTCCCTAATGCATATACATATTCTTGTTTACATGTGGCTCAAATAATCAATTATATGAATTTAGAATTAAAAAAAAAATTGACATCATTCGTCAGTACAGATTAGAATAATTATATTTAAAACAATGATAGAATAATTGTTTTATTCTTTCATTTAAAAATAAATAACTTTTAGAAAGAAATATCTATTTTTCTGTTAGTAAACAACTTTTCGGTGACTATTACTTGTCTATTTAATTTCTTTTCTTTTCCACCTATTACTTTTCATTTCCTCCAATTTTTTCTTTACATCAAAAAGAGTGTAAAGGTAAATTCGGAAGTCTTGGATCTGTTGGATGAAAAGCAGGGAAACCTAGTGAGAGACATAAATTGTGAAGACCAGACATTTACTTTTACACAAAAGAAGTAATAAGAAGCAATAAATGACAAGAGCTAACCTCCATTTTGCAGTATTGCTACCACCCTATTGAAGGAGTCATTTCCTTTGCCATTGAGAACAAGGGCAACGAATTAATGTAGTCTACTCAACTTAGTTATTGCTGACTCAACGTGTGTTGTCTCCTCCAACGAGTTGACCAAACTACTTACTACAAATTTTTAAACTAAACCACATGCATGCACAGAGAAATCAGAAAATATTAAATACAAGTTAATTAAATTCTACTGTTTGCCTCATGTTTATTTTTTTCAAAAAAAATTATGTTAAAGTAAGGTACAAATTCATGTAAGTCTAGAGTTAATCACTGATCTCTCTATAAATGTTACGTAAAATTACAAATATTATAGGAGATTAAAGATGGAATATAACTTTAAATATATAAATATATAATAATCTTTGAGTAGCCATAATTATTACGCAGCAAAAAATTACTTATTCATACATTTCTTTCATATAATAATAAGTGTCAAGTAAAGTAAGATCGAATTAAATGGTGACGGCAACTGGCGCCAACTCTGTTTGCTCAAAAGTACTGTGCCAGTAAGCCCTAATCCTTATGTTCCACCACTGTCTGTTTGGCAAAAATATCTTATAAGTCATTTCAAGTTAATTAGCAAACATTTTTTAATTGAAAGTTAAAAGTTATTAAACCACTTTATTTGATTGAAATATTGGATTAGATTAACCGTTAAACTAGACAATAAATATAAAATAATATGGAAAGACATATATCTATATGATTTCTTTTATATAAATTATATTTTTATTTTGTATAAAAATTGGTTTTTGAGTATTTATAATTCTTAGTTAATTTTAAATTCTTCATCATTTTTATTCAAATTTATAATATTTTGTTACAAAATAAAAGTAAATAGAGCATAATATTTAGTCCATTGACTTTTCTTGCCCTTAAGAGATTGGTGCATGAATGGGAAACCTAAGGATGGGTCTAGGAAGAAAAGAAAAGTGAAAAAGTAGATTAAAGTAAGAAGAAGAGAAATAAAATAAATGAAAATAGGTGAAAATATAGTAGATTTTTAGGTGTTTGGTATGAGAAAAATAGAGAATAAATAAGAGAGAAAAATAAAAATTATTACTGCAGCTTCTTTGCAGATTACATTAATTAATGGTGGTTTTTAACCATCGAAAAATGAAAAAAAAAAATGCCACTAAGCACACATAAACTGGTGATTTATAAACAACTTAATTTTATCAAGAAAACGTTTAGTACATGTTAAAAAGTTGGTCTCACGCACGTCAGAAAAATGAAAACCTTGAATGCAATATATATACAATCACAATTATAATTTTAAGTTTTAAAATATAGTTTTTTTTTTCTTCAAAACAATCATATAAGAATGATTATTTTAAAATTCCTGTCAAAAAAATACTTTAGAATAAACATGATAGATTATTAATACAATTTAAATTATTTAACTAAATTTGTCAATTTAAGTTAATATTGAAATAAAATTCTTGAATTTTTTTTTTGACAGATCATCTTGCCAACCTATCTTAATTAAAGTGGATTATGATTTTCGATCCACCATCAAAAGAATACGCGGTTATAATTCTATTTCATTTTTTTACAATAAAGCAATTAGTACATTGACATAAATGGCATAGGAACTGATATCCAAACTTATATTTTCTGTGATGTAAGTTTTACACCCCTTATGATCATAAAATATTACTCAAGGGGATTCATTGGTATCAGAATGTCTGTTACTCCTCTTTCTAACGATGGAAAATGTCATTCATTATTTATCATTTTGTAGATAAAAACAAAATAAAAGAAGATAGTTCCGTTAAGTAACTTTATTTTAGTATTAAAAGTAATTATTAAGTATATAGTACGAAAAACAATAGACATTAATAATATAAATAGTTGAATATATATCTATTATCATCATGATGACGTATTAACCATTCCCTCGCAATTTTATTCCAAAAAAATAAGAAAAAGAAGGTACACTGTAGACGCCAAGTTGAAGCGGGTACGTACGTGCTCAAAACTTTTTGTACACAACAACCGAAATAACTCATGCACATGCTCCTCCTTCATTATTCATCACCTATATATATTGCTATGCCACCTTCTTCCCCCAAAATCTCAACCACTTCGCTCCACCATAGTAAATGAAACAAACCAAAAGTCATAACCTTGTCGACTTGTGAGTTAAAGAGAAAAATATCGCACACAAGTACACAAACTAGTAGCTTCAGAAAAGTATATGCAATGAGTTAACCAGAAGACAAGTAACTAATCTAGTATATTATATTATCATTATCAATATCAAAGGAGGGTATACATAACCACTTTACGCGTTCACATTTAATGGCCCTGCCTAACTCCCATCCTCCTCCTTCAATAGGCGTAATTTTTAGTTGCCATATAAGTTCTCAGTTTCTGCTGCACTCAATGCACCCCAAAGCCTTAAGATGGTGAACATTGGGACACTTGTTCTACTCTTTTCATTTTTCCTCCTGAGATGTGGGCATGCACAAGACACCCTTGTGCCAGCTATCATAACATTTGGTGACTCCGCAGTGGATGTAGGGAATAATGACTATCTCCCCACCCTTTTCAAGGCTGATTACCCTCCTTATGGGAGGGACTTTGTTAACCACCAACCTACTGGGAGGTTTTGCAATGGCAAATTAGCTACTGATATTACTGGTAATATATGCAACTTGTACTTGTACCTAGCTACTTAGATTAGACTAGATGCTTAGACTAGATCATGTGTTCCACTAAACATATACTAATGCACTTAAGTTTCTTTCATTCTTACTTGTTGGAATGTTCCATTTTGTAGCCGACACATTGGGTTTCAAGACTTATGCTCCTGCATATCTTAGCCCTCAGGCATCAGGGAAAAACCTCCTTATTGGAGCAAACTTTGCTTCAGCTGCATCTGGTTATGATCAAAATGCTGCCGTTTTGAATGTAAGTTTGGAATCAACAACTTCACATATGGTTTACAAGATTTCTGATTTCAACATAACTTCTTTTGTTCCTTTTGGCAGCATGCTATCCCTTTGTCCCAACAGTTAAGTTATTTCAAGGAATACCAAGGCAAACTGGAAAAAGTTGCTGGCAGTAAAAAAGCAGCCTCTATTATCAAGGATGCATTGTACTTGCTCAGTGCTGGAAGTAGTGACTTTGTGCAAAACTATTACGTCAATCCTTGGATCAACAAAGCCGTCACTCCTGATCAGTATGGGTCCTACTTAGTGGGTGAATTTTCAAGCTTTGTTAAGGTATTCTGCTACTATTATTGTTGAAGATCTCAAATCAATCGGTAATATGATAAAAATAGTATATATAAGTGAAAGATCACCCTTATCTCAAAACTCATGTTCTAAGAGATTTTGTCGCACTATTGGAATGAGTTAATGGTTCCACTTCTTTGTTTGGACACAGGACTTGTATGGATTGGGAGCAAGGAGAATTGGAGTGACTTCACTCCCACCATTGGGTTGCCTACCTGCTGCAAGGACTTTATTTGGCTTCCATGAGAATGGTTGTGTCTCAAGAATCAACACTGATGCCCAAGGATTTAACAAGAAGATCAACTCAGCTGCAGCAAATCTTCAAAAGCAACTTCCCGGTCTTAAGATTGCAGTTTTTGACATTTACAAGCCTCTCTATGACCTTGTTCAATCCCCTTCAAAATTCGGTAGATAATACTTTAACTAAAATACATTATTCAACATAGAGTAACATTCACTTGCAGTAAAATTTTGTTTTTTCTAACCAATCTTTTGATGCTTTATAGGTTTTTCTGAGGCAAACAGAGGTTGCTGTGGTACCGGGACTGTGGAAACAACATCCTTGTTGTGTAATCCAAAGTCACCAGGAACTTGTTCTAATGCCACGCAATATGTGTTTTGGGACAGTGTGCATCCTTCGGAAGCTGCTAACCAAGTTCTAGCAGATTCATTAATTCTACAAGGCATAGCTCTTATCACATAAAGAATCGTCATTATTCATGTGTTAGATATAAGATATTATTGTGTACAACTACACATCGTGAAAGTGATGCAAAAGTTTCCTGTTTTACTTTAGTCTGAAAAAACTGTGCTCTATGTAATTCAGATCTTGAGAAATTTGAGATAAACTCGTTTGTAATACATTTTATAATAGTTATAATACAAACATGTTTGTTTATCATCTATAAATGCATTGTTCTATTTTTGGTAGTTATACTTGGAGAATTTTAAGCAAGACAAATAACGATCAGAGAAATTGGCATACAAGGAAAGAAATATCTAATAGAGGCTGTTAAATTAAATCCTGAGGGGTTGGATTAGAATTTTATAACCCATTCGATCCGAATATATACAATAAAAATAGCATGAAATTGTTAAGAGGGCAAAAACTAAGTTTATTTTCATCTCAAAATCTGTCTCACCAGATTAATAGTCAACGGAGAACTTTTTGATCAAGTCCATGTGCACTGTGAGGAAAATGCAACATAAGCCTAATTCCAGATTTACCCTTTCTCTTGCAAAGAAGCGTGATGAAGGAAGCTTAACAATATTTATTTTGACAGCTTAAAAGCTTTCAACAGAATTTTGCAACATAATTAATCTAAAGAAATTACCAATTGCGAAGAAGCAAGAAAGAACAAGAGGAGTTAATCACTATAATTTAAAATGACGCATATGCTACTCAATCCCATATCTTACTCTTAATTGAATTACTAATCATAAATGCATGCCTTTGATTATAAATGCATCCTTGTCTAATTAATGGTAATTTGAACAGCTCCTAAAGACTAATGTTGTACATCAGAATTTATTACTAAATAACCTGCTAATCTGTAATATTCACTGTTGGAATGAGGTAAAATCCTTGCATATGGCTATAAAGTTAAAATGAACTATATGCTGCTGATCTTCTATGCGATTTATGATTGGGAGTATCATCTGATTTTCTTAAAGCTTCAGCATATTTCACCAAATTAGATTTGTCCATGCCAGATGATTCTGAGAAAGAATCAACGCGGTTTTTGAAATCCACTGAACTTCTTCTCCTTGGACTCAAATTCTTTGAGCTTCCTGGAGTATGGCTATACGAATTTCTCCTACTTTCATCCTTCAAACTCTGTGTCTGGTTATATTCAAAGGAAGTTCTAGATGTGGCACCGGGAGTTGCATTCTCACTCCGAAGACCCTCAATTCCAGTATCATTTCCATTTGGTATACTCAAGCTGAACTGTGAAGTATTGCTATCTTCTCGAGACATTGCTTTTCCTTTACATGGAATTCGAACACGATGATGCGGGCCATCTTTGCCTCGTATCAGCTTCATAAGCTTGCCAAAAATCCTTGACTTGCCTTTGTTGCTTGTATTGTTTGCTTTGGCCTCAGATGAATTATCTAGAGGAGAATAGTCATCACGCTCTCCAGAATCTGTGAGAAAAGAAGCCTGGGAAGAGGACCATTGGTCAGAGTCCAAATCAGAATTGCTGGCTCGCCTGTCATTATTTGCATATTCAAGTATAAGCTGCTTGGCTTTTTTCTCAGATGTAGGACTCAAGCTTTTACTCAAGTCCCTTGCAACTGCTTTACCAGATGGAGGTTGATAATTTCGTAGCTCATGTCTTAAGCAAGCATTTATCCACCGTAGATAAACTAGTTCTTCAAGATCTGAACATCTATCAGCATGTAGTTGCTCCATTTCTTTCATCAACCGTTCATTCTCTTTTCTAAAACGCTCACTTTCTTCTTTCAAAGAATCTGCCTGCATCCAAATGCATCAGATAAAACCGTGTTTAAATTTAAAAGGCAGTGACTGAGGCTGTGTTTCTATATCCAAAATCTGATTTTACTTTTTCAACATGTGAGTAAACAAGGGTTGCTCAAAGAGCTGGTGGAGGGTGGTGCAATTTGATTCTAGGCTTAAGATGAAGTAGGTTACTCGTTTGAATGCTACGAACTTAGACAGCCTTTAGACTTTTCTAGGGTGTCTTCCTAACTGGAACCGTAAACAATTTTCAAAACTTAATAGATTTTAGATGAGAAATTGATTTTAAAGAAGTGTGGAATTGGATTGTATCATTACCTCTGGGTTTTCTAGAACAGCATTTGCAAGGACCTGAGTAGAATCCAATCTTCGAGCTAAGTCAGAATTTTCCATCTGCAGTCTCAAATTAGATTTCTTCAACTGTTCTGCCTCACACTCGAGATCCTTTAGCTTTGTCAGCTTTATTTGAATCTCATGATCACTAGCAGCAGCTTTCAGTTCTTGATCTTGCATCTTGGAAACTTTATGTTTAAGATTTATGATAAGCTCCCTGTTCTGTTCAGCTTCATACCTGATTTTCTTCTTCAAAAACTTGACTTTTGCTTTTGCGTTCTCAAGCTCAGACATAAGTTTTGCATGATCAGACACTTGTGCCTCTAATCTCCGATTCTCAGACTGTAAGGTCTCAACCTTTAGATTGAACATCTTTGCCTCCATATTGCTTATCTTCAATCTATTTTGGAGCTCCATCACTGCTGCTTCTTGCTCTCTAAGGCCACAGAACTCAAGCAATTGAACCTCGAGATTTGTTTCCCTCTCTTGAAGCATTCTGATCATGCTCCTGAGTCTCCTGATCTCTTTCTCATAATCATCCTTCTCAAAACTTGTATATGCCATGGGAGATCCTACTCTTGACCTTGGCGTTTCTACTTCTTTCTTAAAAGAACTACCTGAAATAGTGCCTTCAAACTCTGCTTCCTTGGTAAGATCATTAAACTCAGGCAGGAGGAACTCATCTTTCTCTCCACTATGTTTAGTTCTTGGAGAGAGACCCAATGGGGAGTTTTTACCAATCACCTTGTTGATGCATGTTTCTTCCTGATGTAGAAGAAATTTAACAATTTTGTTAGTTGAAGAAAAGAATCTTATCAAACTTTTTACCAATTTTCAATGTCTATTAATTCTGTAAAATCATATTACAAGCAGATGATACGTCATCAGAAGATTAAAGCTACATATCTATTTGTTTGAACAAGAGATCTTAGACACATAAGAAAACAAATGAAGAAAAAAATTATATTCTGCCTATCAACAAAATGAGAAAATTGAAATAACAACCAGAAAGATACCCTTTTCTTGTGAAACTTACATTATCCAACATATTTTCCTCGGAAACAGTGCTGCAAAAACTAGATGCAACCCTGTTACCTCTTCCTACATTAACTTCGCTTCCATGATCTGAATACACATTATACATACAAAACATAACTTACATTCATCATCCTGGGAAAAAGGAAAAAGAAAGAAAATTGTTAATATAATGAATAAACAAACCTGAAGGGTGGCCCCTGGGGGAAGTAGCAGAGGGTTTGATTCTTTTGGTTCTGACGTGAGAGTAGAGAAATCCAGCTAAGGTAAGAGCCAAAGCAAGACCACATTTCAGGAGAAAAGGCTTCATGCTCTTCTCCTCTTTCGTTTTCCATTTCAAAAACCTTCCAAATATTTTTTCCATCATGAAGAGAGAGAGAAATCACATAGATCCTCTTCTTCATCATCCTCCATCATCTCATGTCATGCCCACCAAAAAAACACAAAATCCATTTCTGGAAACATAACAACCATCATGGATAAGCAAACTCCAACATCCCCAAAACCATTAAACTCACATGCACCACGTCAAATCAAACCATACAAGACCTACCACGTTAGATTGGTTCAACACAAGAGCAATAGTATAGAAAACACAGAAATAATTGTAAAACAATGTCCATGAATTGTGATCCACAACCAACAAAACATGATGAAAATTAGCAAAATAATTGAACTTTACATTTATATGATCACGATGAAACGCCTCGTGACTCAATTAAAATGACTCAACAGAAGCGTGGCTTTTTGATGCTGTTGTGTTGTGGTAATAGTTTGATTAGCGTATCTGCATGTTCCTCTTGTGAACAAAAGGGTATGAACGCAATCTTAAAAGAAAAAACGTATATTGTTTTACCAACAAATACTGCCCATTGATTTTTGTCTTACGTATATGGTGAATACGATGTGGGAAGTGGGTCATGTCAGGGAGAAACACAAACTGAACTTGAAATTGTGATAAAAAAAAATTAAAAATGAAATTAGGTAAGAGAGAGAAAGAGAAAGAAGATTCTGGTACGCTGAGGACCTGAGGTAACAACGAAAACCAATTATGAAAAGGTGAAAATGTGACGAAGGTACGTAAATTATTTGGAAAATCGAATAAGTATTCTTCTAATTTATCCATCTTAGTTGTGTAATTATGGAGACAGTTTTGTTATCAGATCAAATATAGTAAACGGAGAACCCTAATTAAGCGAAACTGCTCTTTCAATTTTTCTCCAATTTTCCCTCCAAAGGCCGCGTTCCTGCTTTTTCTCAACCTTTCTGTTCTACTATTTAATATTTAATAAAGAAGTCAATCATTTTAACTTTAATATTTGAGTTTAATTTTCATGTATTATTATTAGTATAGATATTTTTTTATCATGTATTCATGTTAACTAAATAGACATGCTTTTATAAAAATTGACTTAGAGAAAAGTTATATTTTCTTATTAAAAAAAACTACGTATTAACTATATTTTAACAACAAAAAAAAAAACCTATCAAGTTTGAGTGCCGATTGACATGCAATAATTTGGATATGCAACAATATTAAATACTATTAAATTTTTTTAAAAAATTATCTTTTATAATGAATGATCTTAGACATTAAATATATACGCTTAAATTTGTTTTTTTTTTTTCTAAAATGAATGTATTTTAATTTTAATCTTTGTAAAAAAATTATTTTCTATCCTTCTAAAGTTTATCAACATTATTTTTAGCCTTTCTAAAATATTTTTTATCCTTATTAAATTTTGGTTTTGGTTCATGTAAAATATTTTTTTATTTTCATTTTTAAATTATAAATTATTTTTTTTTATCTCTAATGATGATATTAAATTATATAAGTAATATTTATTTTAAGATTTATTTTAAAATTTAAAAAATATGACACACTAATATAATATTACTTACACTTGTAATTAACACCTAAAATAGTCACTTGAACTTTTAATAAACAAGTACTTAGTTTATAAGGATTAAAAATATATTTAAATTATCTATATATATATATATATATATATAATATTTTA